TGAAGGTGAGACCGCCGAGACGGATCTCGTGACCCTCGACCAAAACTCCAGCAGTCACCATGATGAGAGTACTCGGAAGAATCGCAACTTCTCCACAAAATCGCTAAAACACCGGCCCCACGGTGGGCGCCAACTGTCGTGGTTCTAAGTCTGACAGTAGAGTGGGGGGTAGGTATGGAGAGGCAAGGTCCTAGCTATGGAGAGGTTGTAAACACAAGCGATGTACGAGTTCAGGCCCTTCTCGGAGGAAGTAAAAGCCCTACGTCTCAGAGCCCGGAGGCGGTCGAGTGGATTATGTGTATATGAGTTACCGGAGTGCGAACCCTTCTGCCTGTGGAGGGGGTGGCTTATATAGAGTGCGCCAGGACCCCTGCCAGCCCACGTAATGAAGGGTTTAAAGTACATTAAGTCCGGGACGTTACTGGTAACGCCCCACATAAAGTGTCTTAACTACCATAAAGTCTACTTAACTACTGACCGTTGCAGTACAGAGTGCCTCTTGACCTTCTGGTGGTCGAGTGAGTCTTCGTGGCCGAGTCCTTCAAGTCAGTCGAGTGGGCTCCTCGTAGGTCGACTGGAAGGTGATCTCTTCTAAGGGTGTCCTTGGGTAGGGTACTTATATCAGGTCTATGACCCTACCCTAGGTACATGAATCCATCAGAGGCTATATATACCCCTCCACCTCCTCGTCATTCATGGAGAGAGCCATCAGAACAAACCTACACTTCCAACTTACCATTTCTGAGAGAGAACCACCCACTCATGTGTTGAGGCCAAGATATTCCATTCCTACCATATGAATCTTGATCTCTAGCCTTCCCCAAGTTGCTTTCCACTCAAATCTTCTTTCCACCAGATCCAAAACCTATGAGAGAGAGTTGAGTGTTGGGGAAACTATCATTTGAAGCACAAGAGCAAGGAGTTCATCATCAACGCACCATTTGTTACTTCTTGGAGAGTGGTGTCTCCTAGATTGGCTAGGTGTCACTTGGGAGCCTCCGACAAGATTGTGGAGTTGAACCAAGGAGTTTGTAAGGGCAAGGAGATCGCCTACTTCGTGAAGATCTACCGCTAGTGAGGCAAGTCCTTCGTGGGCAACGGTCATGGTGGGATAGACAAGGTTGCTTCTTCGTGGACCCTTCGTGGGTGGAGCCCTCCATGACTCGCGCAACCGTTACCCTTCGTGGGTTGAAGTCTCCATCAACGTGGATGTACGATAGCACCACCTATCGGAACCACGCCAAAAACATCCGTGTCTCCAATTGCGTTTGAATCCTCCAAACCCTGCCCTTTACTTTCTTACAAGTTGCATGCTTTAATTTCCGCTGGCTATATACTCTTTGCATGCTTGCTTGAATAGTGTGATGATTGCTTGACTTGTCCTAAGATAGCTAAAATCTGCCTAACTCTAAAATTGGGAAAAGGTTAAGTTTTTAATTGGTCAAGTAGTCTAATCACCCCCCCCCTCTAGACATACTTCAAGGTCCTACAACAGTTCAAGGTACACAAGTCTTAATCCATTATATTGAAGGATCTATTGCTCAGTTGGTAAAGCACAAAGCTCTTAACCTTGTGAACGTGGGTTCAAGCTCCATGGTGGAGATTACATCATATGATGTTATTATCAATGAATTATATACAAAGTCCCAGCTCAGTAATATCTTACTGAGCCGGCCCTTGGGGGCTACACGTTGCTGCTCCAGTTTACATGATAATATTTACAAAGTCCCTGCTCATTATTGCATAATGACCCGGCCCTTGGGGGCTAAACTGGTTGAAGTTTTATGAGCATAAGGCAATTACAAGTCCCAGGTTGCTGCAAGCATGACAACCCGGCACTTGGGGGCTACAGGTGATATGCATATAAGGGAGGAATAACTTCAAATCCTCAGTTTTGAGCAAATCGGGTATTATATTATTATCGAAGAAATTTGAAAAGTTTATGACCCGGCGTCATCATAAGATTATGACTCGGCATCAACAACAATTACATGACCCGGTATCATTTGTTTATAACCCGACAATTTTGGCAATCATAAATCGGCAAGATCTACATCTTTAAGCCGGTTGAAAGTCAGATGAGTATTTCAAGGCTAATATTTTTTAAGCCGGCGTTTTGGAAGCTGACTCAAGTGGATTATTTCTTACAATATTTCTCTACAAGAAGACCAATGTCAGCAAATTGATTCTGAAGCTGGCCTGTTAGCCCGGATTTTTCAAAAGAAGTATCTGGATTTTTTGCATTGACAAAGTTGAAGCATATCTGTTAAAGAAGATTTTTCTATGAGGTTATGGACATATTTATATCAACAAGGAAATGACAAGGACTTAAAGATGTTCAGGTGCTGGCTTACAAGAGTATTTAACCCGGAGCACAACCTGTCAAATTTGTTCTTGAGTTATTTTGCATGATCATTTTAACAAGGATAAATCCAAATTAAACTGGGGGCTAATGTCGGGGATATACCCCGCGGTATGACCCGGCCGGATGGATGACCCGACTGGGACTTGGCGTTTCACAGATAACCCGCCGGAGGTTTGGCGACTTACGAGTCTAGCGGCTCACTGGTCTGACGACTCACGAGCCCGGCGACTCACGGATGGCCCCGACGGCGGGTCAAACGGACGACAAGGTCCAAGGCCCAGTAGGCCGGTTCATGCGATGGTGGGCCGACTTAAGAAGAAAGGTATGAGGAATATTTCCCTTACAAGGAATCAAGACCCGGACTTGTATCCGGCTTGTAGTAGAAGATAGGCTAGTCCTAGTCCTACTAGGACTCCACATGTAACCCGCCCCTCTAACTTATATAAGGAGGGGCAGGGCTCCCCAAAGAGGGGCAAGCAAGAAGAAATAATTTCTAGGGCTAGACACAAAGGGGGAGCCGGCTTATGCAGCGACTCTCTCATGAGCATAATGAGATCTAGCCACAAACAACATGTAGGGTTATTACCGGATGATGTTTCCCGAGGCCCGAAGCTGTCTAAATCCTTGTCTTGTGTTGCACCTCTCGATTCCGCTCAACCCCTCTCAAGCTACCACATAGATGCGTTGGCCTCGCGACTAAGTCCTCACACTAGGACATCTGCCGTGACAATTCCACGACACAAGGGTTACTTGCATCATGAGTTGAGGTAGTTAGAGATAGGTTGTTTTCTGTTCAAATCTCTTTTATCTCTCTCTATCCGGAATCTTTCTCTCTTTGTAACCTGTTCGGTTGCCTCTCCAATCAATTGCCTTGTAACTCCACGTGAGATCTTCTCACCAGATTAATATAATCCCATGCGGGCTCCCTATTGGGGGTTGAGACACTTCTTCATTACTTTCATCCCCAACCCACTCGAGCACATGGTTCCGGAAAACTATGTGCGATTGAGGGTCCTAACCGTATGAATAGCCCTAAATTATAGTAGTGACTCCTACTAAGTTGATGCATCTCCATCAAAACGTAGGATAGCTCGTGTTTGTTTTGGTGATGAAGAGTCCACATCTTGATGAAAAATGTGTCCATTTTTGACATGGAAATACTGATTGTCGCGGTCCAACGTCAATTTCACACCACCCTTTTCTGGAAAAGCCTTCATGATATACAATTTATATTGTGCTCTGTGGAGTTGTGGTGGTGGTTGGCTATTTGATTTATATGTTGGTTGGCTCCCATGCTTTTTGTATAAAAAATTCCTTAATATGGATTAGATATGAAGTACTTTAGGGTGTTTTCCTATTAAAAACATGCTCTGTTCTTACACACTCCAATATTTGTGGGGAATAAATTTACTTATGTGATGGTATTACTGTTTCAATGCCCATATGGAATAAATTAATAAAATAATATCATTGTGTATGTCATGCATTAATGCAAAAAATGGACAAATAGATGTATACAAAGTAGTGTATACTTAAAATCAGACGACCAAATCTTAACTATTTTAATGGATTGTGCAAATTATATGTTTGCACCAAATTCCTTTAATGTACATACACCAGAATACAATTTTAAATCCCCTATGCACAAGATTAGGGTTTCCTTCCTCTTAGGCGATTGCAATCGTCTTCAAGTCCAACCTACCTGCGTTCGGCCTGAGGTCCAGGATCCCCATTGTCCGTCTTGGTCGGCCCTCCCGACCTCCACCGGATGAAGATCCCCTCTAATGCTCACTCCGCCACGAGCGGCGGTGGCGTGGTGGCCGCCAAGGCTGATCTTGGTGACTTTTTTTATCAACTTGTTCTTAATGACGAAGAGTTCGATGATGTCGTGGTGGATGAGGATGATCTAGAGATCAATGATGGCCTTCAGTGCTTGGCTCTAGCTAGGGTTCATACTCAGAAAACCTTTAGCCAATCTGTGTTCTATAGAGACATGAGAGCGGCTTGGAATCCGGTGCAAAGTGTAAGGTTCCGCTCTGTTGGACCTAACCTATTTGCAACTTATCGAGTTATTTTTCACTTTAACGATGCATTGGAAGCGGAGATTCATGCACTCATACAAGGGATGACCCTCACTATCCAACATACAACTCTTTCAGTTATGGTTTAGTCGGATTCTTATGAAGCACTATCAATTCTATCAAACAATGCATTGATTCGTTCGGCATACGAGCATTTAGTTTATGAAATAAAAGAGTTGATGTGTAATAGGGGTTTTTGTCCACAGAAGATTCACCAGTCAGAATAGAGTTGTAGATCGGCTGGCCAACTATAGCTGCTCCGAATTTATCACTGATGTCCGTTCCACCTTGTATTGAGGATTTGTGGCCTCTCGACAGTAACACTACTACAATGCAGTAAAACTCCCTTTACCAAAGAAAACATACACCAGAATACAAATACCCATGATTATGTTTTTCCTTTTTTTTTTTGCAACTTGTTAGAAAAAGAGATAAGGGGAAAAAAAGGGAATGCGAATCAATCCATGTTGGAGTTAAACATTTTTGTCCTTTGCTTCAGGTAGTTGACAGGCGTGTGAGTGCTCCCCTAGCTGTGTTCTCCCTCCATTCCTCCAATGGCCACCACCGCATCCAAGTACCCCCAACACTACGACGACGATGAGGATGACGACGATGAATTCGAGGACGACGACGACGATGACGAGCCCTCCCGGCCGCTGCCCGCCGGCAGCGCGGAGGATCGCCTCGAGGCCGTTCTTCGCCGCCTCACGGCGGACGAGGTCCGGATCCGGGTGCACGACGTCGCGATCCGGGGCTGCGCCCGCACGCGCCGGGCCGCCGCGGAGGCAGCGGTGGGGCCGGACCTCGCGCGCGCCGCTACCGTGCCGGAGCTCCTGCGTGCCGCCGCAGCGGCCGGTGAGCGGCTCCGTCGCCTCGGCGCCTTCGAATCCGTCTCCATCACCCTAGACACCGCGCCACCGGGGGTCCCTGCGGACGCGAGAGGCGGCGCCGTCGTCGTCCTTGTCGACGTCACCGAGGCTCGGGGCCGCGCTGCCGGCGGGCTCGGCGTATTCGCCAACACGGAGGTCCACACCGATCTCAATGAAAATGTCTTCCTTCTGTTGAACTGGGCTGACTTGCACGATTGGTTAATTTATTAACATCAGACCAATACAGCCTTAATTCAATTTAGGGACAAGTCTAATTTAGCCAATTGAGGCATTCAGCTAAAACATTAGAGAATGGAGCACTTGAAACTGATTTGTATTTAGCTTCTTTTTTTCCACAACGACTAGATGATGCTTTCCCTTGGTATGTAGCCTTTATCTCGAAGGTATATGCAATGCCTGGGGTGATGGATAGGAATGAGACAAGTTGAGGTGTATGTGTAAATGTGTTTTGTTTCAAAAGAATGGAGCATGCAGTTCTCGCATTTACTATGGAAAAACGAAGAAAGTTTTCTTATTAGCAAAGGAATGGACTGTGATTGTTCTTGCGTCGACCTGCTACATGCACTTTGTGGCGTCGCACTGTAGTTTTGCTAACATTTCCTAGTTTTTCTACAAACAAATTATAGGATCCTTTTAATCATTTCCTGTTCTAACCCTTCGTGTGGAAGCCTTGTTTATGTTAGTACAGCCATGGCCCACTGCATAACTGGGTGTAGGTTGGTGTGGGTCCAGGGTGGGGGTTGTGTTAATCATGCAAGGGTATTTCTAGCAATCTCTTCTGGTAGGGAGTAGGATGCCATGGTGGTTATTATCAGCTGTACTATCCCAATGCATCCTTGAAGTTACTCATGCCATTAATTTCTCCCCCTTCAAATCTCTTGCAGACTAGATCATGCTCAGTTGAAGGTTCACTGAGGTTCAAGAATCTATTTGGATACTGTGAGACCTGGGATGCATCTGGTCTTCTTGGTTTAGATCAGACAATGGAGCTCAATGTTGGAGCCATAATACCGAGAATTGGACCAATACCCACTCCACTGATGGCTCGAGTGTCATTTCTCTCTGAGGACTGGTTGAAGTCCTCACTCAGAGAACACCTGATGGGGGTTTCTGTTGGGTTGCTCTCCACGATGAACTATAACCTTGCTTACAATCTCTCATGGAAAACTATAATTGACCCGGCGCGGTTGTCCTCCAGTTCCATAAGGGATCAGTTAGAGCATAGCCTACTATCCTCTATCAAATATACATACAAAATTGACCAGAGAGATTCAAGCATAAGACCTACATGTGGATATGCTTTTCTTTCGTCTTCTCAAGTCGGAGGTCTTGCCCCAGACAGCAAGAACACACGTTTTGTTAGACAGGTATGTCGAAAATCTTTATGTTTGTAGTCATACTTTGTATTCCATTTCAGGATGTAGATTTTTTGTCCTTCCTTTTCAATCTTCTCTCCTGCTTGACAAAATCAGCAACTTTGACTTTGAATGGAATAGTCTCCATCGTTATTTTCTAGAATATAATGTGGTATACATTAGGGAAAATATTATCTTTAGCAACTGAATCTATTCAAACGGAAACATCTAGAAGTAGCAGAAAACATACATTTTCATTTGTCATTAGCATAACTCATTTTTATTCACCCTGCATTAGGAATTTGATCTTCGGGTAGCTATGCCACTGGGTGTGTGGAATGGTGCTCTGAATGCCGGAGTGGCTGCAGGGGTCATCCATCCATTGGTCACAGGATCAACAGGCTCTATCTCATCACTTCCAGAACGCTTTTACTTGGGCGGCAATAAGTCTCTTGTTTGCCGATTGGGTGGACCATCATCACTATTGGGCTTCAAGTCAAGGGGGCTAGGACCAACAGACTCACAAGCCTGTGCCCCCAAGAATTCTGAAAATGCTGCTCCCATTTCTCCTGAGCTAGATGCACTGGGAGGTGACATAGCAGTCACAGCCTTTGCTGATCTTTCATTTGATCTACCTCTGAAGCCACTCAGGGAGCTTGGGATTCATGGCCATGCATTTGTCTCAGCTGGGAACCATGCCAAGTTCACAGAGCGTGACATAAGAGGATTTTCCGTTACCGAGTTCCTAAAAACGTTCAGGAGTTCTGCAGGATTTGGTGTGGTTGTGCCAACCAGATTGTTTCGCATAGAGGTTTGTGCTTGGCATCCCTCATCTGCATCATTGAAGTAACTGGTGAAATTACATTATTTTGTCAATGATATACAGTATAAACATATTAGTTTTTTGTACTGAATAAGCGTTTTCCTTTTTTTCTCCAGATGAACTACTGCCACATCCTAAAACAGTTTGATAATGACAGGGCGAAGACAGGCATACAGTTCAACTTCTCTTCGCCCTAATTTATTTTGCTACACCTTTCTATGAAGATGAATATTTGTATTAATTTTTCTTAATATGACCCCACTTGTCATTCTTTTTTTCCCAAGAACTTGCGAGCCTCTCCAGAAATTCACAAACTGTAGGTGACGATGAATTCTTGTCCTGGCTTGTTGATTAATTGTTGTGGCCTGTAAAGTCTCGAATCTGAATGAAAATAAGAGATAGAGGGATTCAGTTTTCAATGCTTATCAACATGCTTCTTGAAGTGATAGAAATAGTGATGTGATGTGTACGGAGAAAGATTGTACAGTGCATTGTGTAAATATTTTCCTGGAATCATGTTTTGGAAATTCTTATGAATTGACTGCTGGCTATCTTACCGTTGTGATTGCATAGGCAGAAATAGACATCTACTATGATCTTCGTCATCTTGCCGTGTAAAACATTAGCCGATTTTGTTTTTTGGTGTAGAGTAGAGGAGAAACACAGGTCATTTTCAGCTGTTACGGAACAACTTTATTGCTGATCTCAGACGGAAGAACATATACATGTGTATCCAGACGGAACAGTAGATTCAGATTTCTAAGAGGACGGCGACATCTCTATCCAGGTGCTACGTACATCTCTCTTTTTCTGCAGTTGCAGGTAAGGCAGCTGCCACCCTGTTTGACATAATATGCCACGGGTTTGGTGAACCTAAACATTGCTGATTATGTTTGGCGTACTGTTGATCGAATTCTCCATTTTGTCAGTCAGTACCTGCACCCTTAACTAATTTCTTGTTGCTACCATATATATTCTTTCTTTGTGGAGATTCTCTTGCAGTTTCTGTTTCAGTCTACCTCTTCTAAGCTTCCTGTTTCTTTGCAATATCAGCCTGCATGAAACAGATAAATTTATTATTCTGTTTGATGATCTAATTAATTACAAAGTAAATCGGACAGATTAAGTAAATGAACTATTATTGCAGCTAGGACGATTAGCTGTCCAAGTTAGCTGGTCTTTGAAACTGGGATGATGAGGGAAAAAGAGGATTCTTTAATGTAGATCAAAAAGGCTAGTTCCGATTTGCTTTGAAAAGAATTTAGCATGGAATGGAATTAAGGATTCGCTTTGTACCATGCAAGTGTCAATAATGGCAATAATGCAAAACGGAAAATTGGACATGCTTTGTTATGTCATTCATTCATATAAAGCTATATTGTCATTCTCTCTGAAAAAAAAACATATCTCTATATGCTCTACTCGTGCATGTTTGCTGAGATTTTCTCCTTTCATTTTCTTTCTTGAAATGATTTTGTCTGGTGGTCAATAAGTTTTGTTTACTTAGAGCTCAAAATGCATAAAATATAGGAGAAAATATGAAGGAGTTTAATCAAGGAGCACCAGTACACCTATTGGACTACCTGTACTATTTGCACTGCCAAGTAGTGGTATATCTGCCGGAGATGTCACTTTTTTTTTTAAAAAAAAGGGAAGAACGAAGAGAGTCAAAAAGAAGAATTTAATTGTGTACAAGTACCCTAAAGGTAAAGTGCTATCAGTTTATTGAACACCATTCAACAAAAAGTTTGATTAATAAGGTGTCCAATGCGTGTCAGGGTTACTACACTATATCTACTACAGAGGATTGTCCTTTAGTTATGTCCATAATACATCTGGAGTACTCCCTCGGTAAAGAAATATAAGAGCGCTCTTATATTTCTTTACAGAGGGAGTATGTAGGTGCACTTGGTTTGATTTGTGCCCACAGGACTTTGAGGAAATTTGCTACTCTGGTACGAGATGCAAATACACTAATTTGTTCAAACCATGGCACTTTGTCAGGGTGTTTATGGGTTGATTGTGAATGTTACATTCAAACTTCATTAAAAGATATAGAAACGCTAAAAGTCCAACGTCAGATTTTGAAGCATGGCAAGTGGAACGTTTTATGACAAAAATATGTTGTTGCGAGGATAACAATTTTCTTTAGCGAGCAAGGCAATTCCTTACAAAAAGCTGAACATGGCAAAGGATTTGCCAAGTTGGTGATTGTTGAGTAACGTGATTGTATTAGGAAAGACGAGATAGACTAGGATTTATTCCGGCTTGTCTTGTACTCCAAGTTGGTCATTGTATTCCTATATATATGCCCACGAGGCTCAAGCAATACAACCAGAACTATTCCACCAAATCCTCTCTCTCCTTTATAACATGGTATCTATCGCAAGTCGATCCTAAACCCTAGCCGCCGTCGCTTCCGCACCTGCGCGCCGCCCCCGGGGCGGTCGGCCTCCATGACCGCCGCCGGGGGCCGCGCCGCCCGTACCTAGGGTTCGTCCGCCGGCCGTGTTGGCCGGCTGCCCTAGAGAGTCTTTTTCCCCGATCCTTTGATCTGGATTTTTTCTCTCTCGCCGGTCGCTTTGATCGGCGTCTACTTTTTGGTTTTCCGGTCTTTGTGATCCGGTTTGCGTCCCCCACCGCCGACGTCGACCCTGTGCGCCTCTACTCCGACTTCGGCGTCGACTACACCGGCGTCTTCACCGACACGGCGGCCTCGCGCGTCGTCTGCGCGACTGCCTGCCGGTCGCCCCGACCCGGCGGCCTCGCGTCATGCGGCGGCCCTTCACCGCCGCCGTTCGCGCGGCGGCCTGCTCGTCGATCTACGCCGGCCGTCACCGCCCTGCTCCGACCGGGACTCCTGCATCACCCCGACCCGGCGGCCTCGGGCCATGCGGCGGCAAATCATAGCCGCCCTGCCGCCTGCCGCCGCCGGCTTCATCTCGGACTCCGCCGCCACCACGCCTCCATCGAGCGGCGTCCCCGACCTCACGCGCGATCGGCTTGATCACCCGCTCGCCACCGCGATCCGCCTCATCTACGCCGCACGACCGACCTGGCCCGTCGGTTATGCGCGCCTCCGCAGGTCCCGTGAAGATCTCTGAGTTCATCACGCCTCTCCACCGATCGAGCATCGGGCTGCCGCTGCGTTGCCCCGTCGGGCCGCAGCGCCGCCGCCCCGTGGTTCTTCTCCGGGC